TGTGTGTGTGTGTGTGTGTGTGTGTGTGTGTGTGTGTGTGTGTGTGTTTAGAGCTGGGGAGTGGAAGGGAGGAGGAAGGGGGGAAAACTGGAAAAAAATATTTTTGATAGTGCTATTTTGAAGGTAACAACTGCTGAAGGAAATTCTGAACAAAAGTAATGACTCTTCTTTGAGAAAAAGAAATTCCTTCCCTGAGTTTATCGTTGGCCATCACACTGGTGTAGTAAACGTATATACATACATACATGTATATTGGTTTACCTTTCGTCTGAGACTTACTACAAGGGATTAAAGACCAAAATGATTTGTAATCCAGCAGTAACTAACAGGCAAGTCCATTCTGTTTAGAAAGTAACTTTAAGAGCTTCCCTGGTGGCAGAGTGGTTGAGAGTCCGCCTGCTGATGCAGGGGACACAGGTTCGTGCCCCGGTCCGGGAAGATCCCACATGCCGCGGAGCGGCTGGGCCCGTGAGCCATGGCCGCTGAGCCTGCACGTCTGGAGCCTGTGCTCCGCAACGGGAGAGGCCACAACAGTGAGAAGCCCGCGTACCGGAAAAAAAAAAAAAAAAAAAAAAAAAAAACGCCGAAAAAAAAAAAAAAAAAAAAAAAAAAAAAAAAGGAAGTAACTTTAAGAAAAACACAGAATGTTAGAATACGGAGGAACTTTGAAAACATGCCAAGTGAAAGAAGCCAGTCATAAAGGACCACGTAACATATGATTCCATTTACATGAAATGTCCAGAATAGGCAAATCAGAGAGACAGAAAACAGGTTGGTGGTTGCCTGGGGCTGGGGAGGTTGCAGGGGGACACAGGCAGTGACTACTAATGGGTATGGCGTTTCTTTAGGGGGTAATAAAAATGTTCTAAAAGTGATTGTGGTGATGACACTACAGCTCTGAAAATATACTAAGAACAGCTGAATTGTACCTTTCAAAGGGGTGAATTGTAAGGTATATGAATTACATCTCAGTAAAGCGGTTATAAAAAATAAAAGAACAACACAGGAGCACAGTGTCCCCTGCCCGCCCCCCGCCCCCGCCCCCCACCCCGTGACCTGCCAGCACTCACTTGGAAGCCTTCATGGAGTCATCTGCCCAGCCTCCTTGCCTGCGTGGTGGCTTGGGAGGGGGAGCCTGCAAGGGAAGAGACGTCAACAAAACAGTCACCCAAGACCAGCGTTCAAGCACACAGGGCTGAGGTTAAGGTAACCTAAACCAACCTTCTGAAACCTTCAAATGCAAATACAATACTATGAAACCTGGGTGCTTTCGTACCCTTCTGGAGGACAATCTGGCAACGTCTACTGAAAGCCTTAGAAATGCTCACACTTTTTGAGCCAGCAATTCTAACCCCAGGAATTTATCCCAAGGAAATAATCAGAGAGAAACACAATGTCATTTTTGAATATAATGAATAACTGGATGTCAATAAGGAATTTAAGTAAATCACGGAATACACATGTGAAAATACTATGCAATAATAAAAAACTGTATTAAAAAGGAATTAATGATATGAGAAAGTTCAACATGTGCTAACTTTTTAAAACATGTTCAAAATAGTAGCTATATGCTTCTAATTTTGTGAAAAGATCACTAACACAGAACATGTAGCGTTAATCAGCTATCAGTGCATGAATGAGAGGATCCAGTGAAAGAATTATGGCGATTCCTTTTTCCTTCTTTATGCTGTTGTGCATTTTCCAATTCCTTTTTACCGTCAATTTATATCACTTTTATAAAAAGAAAAGTAATAAAATAAAAATATAAGAGAGAGGCTTGCTTCAAAGACACAAACTCAAGTGGTGGGTTAAAAAGCTACTCAAGTTATTTGGGCAGGAAGCATTCACCTGCAATAGATACATCCACAAACCCAAGTGCAGGAATTCTTGTAACTATTTTTGATTTTGTGGGCCGCACAGTCTCTGTTGCAGCTACTCAACTCTGAAGCTGCAGGGCAATCAAACCACAGACAAGAAGTAAACACCTGGGTGTAATGTGTTCCAATAAAACTTTACAGAGACAAGCAGTGGGCCAAATTTGGCGGGAAGTATTCTGCAGACTCCTGCGCTAAAATCACTGTAATGCCCTTTCAATCTGTTGCTTAAAACCTAGCTTGCAGCTTTTTAAGACAACATTCCCTCAATATGGTGAAATACCTTTTAACTTTTGATATTTTTATTTTACACCAAGATGTGTTTCCTTTCCTGCTTCTCTGGTAGCACCCCAGCCTGCCAAGGACATGTTCCATCTAGAGACGGAGTCTTTCTGCGGGATGAAGCAGAAACTATTGGAAAGGCCTGATGGAGGAGAAGGCAAGTCCTGGAAAGCCTGCATCCAACTCAGCTCCTGGGAAACCTAAGTAGTACTTTAGAGAAAACAAACTTGAGTAATGAGGTTCTGTACTCTCAGAAACAACAAAAATGTAGAAGTAGAAAACGCACTATTGCTTGTCTCTCTCGGGGGGAACCCAAAGAAGATGAACGAAGAGATCCCCACCATTAATTCCCAGTCCATGCATCCTTTTTTAGTATCCCTGCCACACACAATCACCGGTCCCCAGGCTGGATGGAGAAGCCTTCCATCCCAGGACCCCTCTTCCCTTAGACACAGGTGACTGAACCAGGGCTGCACCAGTCAGAGCCAGTCACAACCAATCAAGTTCTCTGTCCCAGGAATCTGGAACTGAAGCTCAGAGGTTAGGCTGCTCAGACAGCACTGAGTGTTGGAACTATAAGGACCAGCTGGAATCAGAATAAGCCCAAACTACCACAAGCCAAAGTTGTGTATAAGCAGAGACCAAGAACGTTGTCTTGTTCAGCTCTTACCATGTGGAAGGCATTGCAAATGTTAAAGAGATTGGAACTGAACCATATCGGGCCCCTACAGGAGGTTTTAAACGAATCTGGCCCACAGCTTTCTTCCCTATGCTTTTCCAGATAACATCCCACTTTCCTTTACCCAAGGGTAGGACCATCTTGTGACAATGTGCATTCCTGAATTTGGAGGTCCCAACTAGGAACTGCATATTTGGTTTGGCCATACAGTGGTTTTTGTCTGTTTTTAAATTTAAACTACCATTCTAAAAATTGTAAGATTTCCACACAAAACAGGACTCTCCGGCTTCTCTCGGAAAACTGGAAACTCTAGCAATGCTGGGGCTGAGAAGCAGCCGCCCTCTGGTGACTGGACACGTGCATTCTAGCTCGCCACGGCCCCCACCCGCTCTGTCTCTCTCCTTCCTGCTGAAGTCAGGTGCCAGTTGACATCTATTACGATGGCGGTTGTGCTGTTGTTTCTCTTCCAGTACAGAATTCTCTCTCGCTTCCTAGGCCTACTGGAAGTGGGAAAATGAAAGCTATGTCAGATGTTTTGACAAAAATGGGAACAAGCATATTTCTTGGGTGGAAGTGAGATCTTTTCTTACCACGTCAGTGTGCACACTGCAGGTATGCCTGTGTCTAACCCCCAGTCCCACTTCACTCACCCAGGTGCCCTGCCTAGCCCCTGTGGCATCTGAGTGTGTGGCCCTGGAACTAGCTTCTCAGAGCTGGGATCCCCTGTTGTCTGCTCTTTGCTCTGGGTGTTGGACAGAATAAACCCACGTGAAATCCGTGTTGCCATGGTGTCAGGAGGCCCAGGCCTATTTGGCACTTTTCCACTGATAGTCTACAAGAAGAAGGGAAGGGGTCTGGTGGCCTTGGCAAGGTTTCTCAACCTGTGTGTCCTGACCCCACCTCTGCTTTCTGCCATGGGGTGTAGGTGACAAGGGGGACAGGAGGGGACTTCCCTGGTGGCGCGGTGGTTAAGAATCCGCCTGCCAATGCAGGGGACTTGGGTTCAATTCTTGGTCCAGGAAGATCCCACGTGATGCAGAGCAACTAAGCCCGTGCACCACAACTACTGAGCCTGCGCTCTAGAGCCCACGAGCCACAACTACTGAAGCCCGCACGCCTAGAGCCTGTGCTCCGCAACAAGAGAAACCACTGCAATGAGAAGCCCGCGAACCATATTGAAGAGTAGCTCCTGCTTGCCGCAACCAGAGAAAGCCCGCACACAGCAACAAAGACCCAACGCAGCAAAAAAAAAAAAAAAAAGGTGGTGGTGGACAAGAGGAGCGGGGATTGAACTGGGGAGGGATTGTGAAAGATTAGGCATCGTGGGAAAGGAGCATAAGTGACATAAATTTAGGTCAAAACTCACTCCTTTGAGTAACCACTGAGCTGTTGAGGGATTAAATTAGTGACTATATGGTAAATGCTTAGAGCAGTGCCTGGCACATAACAAGTACTATATCTTCACTGTTAGCAGCAGCAGCAGCATCACTAATGTCAATATTTGAAAGGTTAGGCCACGTGTAATAACATATACTGTACCATTTGGAAAAGAGGGGGAATAAAGACTCCTCTGAGCCTGGCCTGAGCTGTCATTTTGACTACTGATGCATCATATGGTTAATAAAGTTCCCTAAGATTCCAAACCCCCAAATGATCTGCTTTCTCTTCTTTAACCACAAACCCCAGAAAGTCACAGCTATTGGAAGGATGAGTGAGAATCCCTTCGGCCTAGACGTAACACAAAGACACTTCTTTTCTCATCTTCTTTCCACTCCGAAACAGTGCCAGCTGCTAAATTAGGACAGCAGCTTCGAAACAGAAAGACCACCACACAAGAGTCACTCCTCCGCAGCCGAAGAATTTAACAACTAGTCCCCAAATCAAAGGGGCTTTTGCACTAATAACTGAAGACTTCCGGAGTTGACATAATGTTGTAAAAACCGTATAGGCTGCTTTTCCTTGAGATCACCTGGGAGAGGAAGAGTTACAAAGTACTTCTCTGCACCAAATGGGGCAGGGTTATAGTGGCCTTCCCTGCTCCCCACTGGGAGTCCTGGCCAACCTCTGAGAGAGCACTGAGGTGGCCGGGAGATGGGGGGCGGGCAGAACTCAGCTCTCTGCAAGGTAGGGCTTGGGTGTTTGGCGGGAGATGTCTCTCCTGATGGGGAATCCTTATGGTCATGATTTAATACTCTGAGTCCTAGGATAAGAAATTCTTCGTTTTTTTTTTTTTTTAATAAATACTCCCTACTATGAGTCTTGTTACGGGCACACACAAATACCCTGTCTCCGGGCTTCCCTGGTGGCGCAGTGGTTGAGAGTCTGCCTGCCGATGCAGGGGCCACGGGTTCGTGCCCTGGTCTGGGAAGATCCCACATGCCGTGGAGCGGCTGGGACCGTGAGCCATGGCTGCTGAGCCTGCACGTCTGGAGCCTGTGCTCCGCAACGGGAGAGGCCACAGCGGTGAGAGGCCCACGTACCACAAAAAAAAACCAAAACAAAAAACACAAATACCCTGTCTCCATGAGACAGATGTAATTAACCATTATTACCAAGTGACAAAGGCTTCTCCCCATAATTCAACTTTGTTCCTATGTGGGGAGCTGAGCACTGTCCTACACGCATCAGGTGAGTTAGAAAAAGCAGAAGACGTCATTCCTGTCCTCAAATGATACCCCGGGTCCAATGAGGCTGGAAAGAGGCAGAATTCAGGGTGTATCAGGTCTGTATGAAATCTATGTGATGGACATTGGGCTTAATCTGAAAACGCCAAAGCCACACTGGAGTGGGGAGGTAGGTATCAGGGATGGAGGAACTGACAGTCCTTCCAGCGAGAGGCTGCATCAGGGTCCAAAGGTGAAGCTGAGGAGGAATCCCTCAGCCCTGGGGCAGTTCCACTAAACTCTGCAGTTTTCTCGTCACCTTTGGTGGTTTTTATTGGGCCACACTCTCCTGGGGCATCATTCAGACAGCGCTCTGACAAGCGTGCATACGTTTGCAAGGCCTGACTGAAGGCTACACAGAATCGTACCAGCGTGGGAAGTGCTGAGGACGAGGAGGTTGACGGAAGCTTTATGGAATAAGTGGGGCTGGCCCTGGATTGGAAAGATAAGCAGAAATGTAAAGGAAAAGCATTCCAGAAGCAACCAGATGCAAGGTGCAGTGACACCAGGATAGCACATAACACTCAGGCTGTAGCAAATGCTGTTCACTGATCACTGTACTGGTCAGGGTCCAAGGTCCTCAGCACCTATCACTGTACAACGCAGGCTGGAAGCGAAAGCTGATGCAACTTGATCA